TATCATTCCAGTAATCAAGAAATTAAGGGAAAATACATCATAATCAGTATTTACAGAATACATTTTGTAACCTTTGTCTGTAAAGAGGCAGTGGATTCTGGAAATAGTACAGAGTTTTTCAAACTCTTTTCAAACAGAATTTCACTTCTGTACAATTTTGTACTTTCCAGTTTAGGGTCATCTGGCTTTTTCTAATCATTGATTAAAAACCAGTCTTTCTTGCCATTAATCTGTGTTAGAGTTTGTCCTCATACCTTCCAATATTCTCCTACTAATTTATTGTTCAATAAATGTGTGACACAAAGAGAATATAAAGCTAGTTAAGATGCAGCCAATATACTTAAATACAACAAAAAGTTAATATATTCTATACCACAAACTACAAAGACAATATATTTTTTTCTACCTCTCTCTCTCTCTCTCTCTCACACACACACACACACATATTTCTTCCTCACCAGTAGAAAAACTAATGGAAAATTGCTCATCATCACTTATCATCAGAGAAATGAAAATCAAAACTACAATGAAAAGTCATCTCATACCTGTGAGAAGGGCTCATATCAAAAAATTTTGAAACAGCAAGTGTTGGGGAGGGAGAATGTGAAGAAAAGGGAACATTTATACACTGTTGGTGAGACTGCAAAGTAGAAAAGTATATATGAATTTTTCAAATTATTAAAAAAATAGATTTGCCAGTTGCTATTCCTAGATATCTACCTGAAGAATGCAAAAACATTAATTTGAAGGTATATGTGCACACCTGTGTTTATTGCAGGCCTATTATAATCAAGTTATGGAAACAACTTAAATGTCCAAGGACAAATGAGTGGATTTAGAAGATATGTTATCTGTACACAACAGAATAGTAGTCAAAAATAAAAGAAGGTGAAATAAATATATGGATTGGTAGCGATTATGCTAAATAAAACAAGAAAGAAAATTATGCTAAATAAAATAAGAAAGAAAAATACCAGATGGTTTTGTTGTAGGGCAATCCAATGTGAACTGGCGTGCCTTTCTGTAGGTCCTCACCCATGCATTTGAAATTCAATTGTACAATAGGTACATACAAAAGGGTCAATAATGGGTTTATTTACAAAGGGGAAAGGAAAAGGAACAAACCAGGAAAAGAGAGAGAGAGAGAGAAGTTAATTAGAACATCCTACCAGCTCTGCTGACCCGGAATTCCAAGTATACATTGACAGCTCATCACCAAAAGCTCATCAAGAGCCTAATGACCAGCCACCAGCCACACAATCCAGAAAGAGAGAGAGAGCATCTAACATGGCTCCCTTACATCCCCAAAAGTCCCAGCATGCCTGCGGAGCCCTTGAGTCCTCACAGTTCTCTCCATGGTATTGGTGAGAGCTGTAGTTTCAATAACTGGAGTAGGGGGTGGAGTCCAGAAAACTGGAGTAGGGGGTGGAGCCCACAAGTCTGTAGAGTTCCTTCAGGACATCCTTTCCCCCTAACAGTTTCACTTATATGTGGAATATGAAGAAACAATATAATGGGTCAATCAAAACCAGCCAATAACAAACCTTAGAAACATAGCTATAGAATTAAGGTTACCAGAGGGGTAAGGGGAGAGAAAAGAATAGAGAGAACCCAATGAACTGTGGTGGAGGACTATGGGTACCTTAGTGCTGGGTGTGTGTGATATAATATATCTGAAGTAATGTGATCCTATACCTCTGAATAAATATACTGTTGTAAAGCAACAGTACCCCAAAAAAACAAAAATTAAGAAAATTAATTCAGAAGATAAAGAAATTACTGCACACTTCTAATACTTATTTTAGAAGATAGCTCATTTGAGTCATTTTGGAAATTTCTTGGACATTTGGATAAATGGGTAAAAACAAAAAGATGAATTGTTTTACATCATGAGTGAGAGAAATTGGAAATATACATAGTTGAGAAGGGGTGACACCCAGGACAGACAGAGGGTGAAAGAAGGAAGAAGGAGATGTTGGAAGACTCTGGAAAGGAAGAAGAACTCAGGCACAAAATGTAAATGGAGTCTTCAAGAGAAATCTGTCCAAAAGTTTCTCTATGGAGTGGTCAATGAGCGATTAGTGTATGTTGTTCTCTGTTGATGATTTTTATTTTTTGGTTGTTGTTATTGTTCCTTGTCATTATATTCTTCCTTTTCTTAAATCTAACCTTCAAACAAAGTGTTTACGCAACAGCTCTAATGGAGCTTTGGAGGAAATGAAAGATGTGAAGTTCAAAGGCAGGAATCAAGATCCATGACTTGGTCATAAGCTGTTCCCCTATAGCCTTCAGTGGGGCTCAGACTTAGCTCTTACTCATGTCTCTTACCTTGAGTATCACAGAAGAATGAAGGGTAGGACTCCACAATACATGGATGGGAATTCCATCCTTTTTTTTTTTTTAAACTATAAGAGGAGACTGCAATGATTCCACAGGATTGTTGTTGGGAGATTTATATAAGTTAATTTATGTGAAGGACTTGGTGTATAATAAGTACTCAACCAGTTTTTGGTTTTATTTTTATTATTTGAACAAATGAATCATGAAATCATAATAGATGAAATATTAAACAGAGAAGAACTACTGAAGTAATTCATATATGGCTCTTAAATTTTAGTGATGGAAAGATTATTTCTCTTGCCTTTATCAGATGCTTGTGCTTCCTACCTCTTCTGTCTACCTCTCCTCTCTTTCTACCTTCCTTTCTGGTATTTCTCTTTCCTTGCCTCCTCCTCGCATCCCATGCTTTTCCCCCTGACTCTCCCCTCTCCAATAACTCCCCATTTTCCAGCACCTTTATCAGCTTTATCCCTCTTTCAGTTGGCATTTCTAGAGCTTGGTTTTAAGAACAAGCCAAAAACAAAGACCCCCTACCCTTAATAGAATCCGATGAGAACAAGGATGTACAGCACATGACAAACTGATATTTTGTAAATTTTAAACAATAGCACCCCAATATCACTTGTAAATTTGCTTCACTTTTTTAGCCAAAGTTTAAACTGCAAAACCATAACAACAATCTTATGTTTTCTTCTTAGTCACATGCATATCTTTTTTTAAAGCTTTATTTATTTATTCATACTGAACTGGGGTACAGGCCAGAGGTACAGGGACAGTGAGAGTCTTCACTAGAGACAGAGTGGGGAGCAGAACAGGTAGATCGACGAAGTACACTGCTGAGGGGAGCAGCGGGCAGGTAAGGAGAGGTCTGCTGCGCCATGTGGTCACCTCCGGGGCTGGGGATAGAGCTCACACAGAAGAGGCTGTTGCCAGCTTGCACTTCTGTGTCCTAACCCGTTGCAGCACCAGGGAGGGCCCACAAACATATCTTTTCCCCAAAAAAGGATCACTGCAATTCATCATGCTCCTCCTACTAACACTGTCTTTGCATTCTCCTTGAGTCGAGGTCTGCAGATGTGGTACTAAAGTACAGTCCTTGACTTTGTGAGATTTATGTCCCTATAGGACACAGGTACCAGAAGACAGGGTGGGGGTTGGGGGGTGTCTTCGCCGGCTTGAGTTATGAGTGTTCCAGGAAAGATAAGCATGGTTGACTAATAAGAAAGTGTATGAAATGGTGGAACTTTCTGGAGGATGTGAGATTCCAAGGATTGGGTCTTGAGGAAGGGCATGTTTGTAGAAAGCCTCCTTTGTAGAGTGAAGGGGATGAAAACAAAGCAGAGATGTGGTTTTCAGGTGGGAGTGGTTAGCCAGTGCCAGGCCCTGAAGGGGCTGGCTGGGAAACACGTTAAAGTAGTTGACTTCTCTCTGAGGTAACTTGAAAGAACTTCAACATGTGAATCATATCTAGAAGATTACACCCCTGGCTTCAGGGAGGAGGAATTGGAGGTGAACCAAAGGTCCAAATGGCAGCAAGGTGACCATTGGTGTGATGTTAAGTCCATGAAGTCCCTGGGCCTGCTCACATTTATGCTGAGCACTGTCCCTCCCTCCCAGCTTCTGAGTGTTCTGCTGTTCACAGGCTGACTTCACCCCACTGGATAAAATGGCATCGGCAGGCACCTTGATAGCTCGGTTGGTTTAAAGCAACACCCCTATAGCTCCAATCTTCTTCCCACGAATAGGATTGGATTAGAGATACACAACTTACATGTTTGAAGTGCTCCATACTCAGAAGGTTCGACCCCTCCCCCCACATTTGGGTTTCACATCTTGAAATCACTGTTTTGAGAGTAAATAGCTTTGCATTTCTCATTATGCACTGAGCCCCACCATTGTTTGTGTTAGGGGTTCCTGTTTCTATCCATTTCTGGATGGCAGCCTTCAGATTCCATAGGGGAAAATGGCCTGAGGACTTCAGGAGCAGTTCCACAGTTAAAACAGATTGTCATCAGCATTTCTTCCAAAGACAGAACCAAGGAGGTCTTTGCCTAGCTGGTTAACAGACTCTGCTCAGGCCTAGTCTGACCTGACTCTCCCCGGCTGTTTGGTAGCAGGACATCTGGATGACAGCCAGAATATTCTTCAACTCAGTGGAAGAGGATGAGAGTATCCTTGACTTTTGCAGAGTTAAACACTTGGAGAAACTCAAGGAAGCAGGCACTTTGTGAAGGTAAAGCTAGTTGGCCTATCAGGTCTCTGCCTGCCACTCTGCTCTGCTCTTGTCTTTTCATGGTTCTTAGCATGTTTATTCTCTTTGTTCCAGTGGCCAAAGGACAAGTTTAAATTTCTTATTTCCTCTAGGGAGCCTGGAGAGAGGCAACAGGCCCTAAATACAGGAAATCATGTGGAGAGGATCTCTTATTTATTACAGTTTCCATATCACTTCCCTTCCCCCAGCCTCCGCCCCCACCTCCAGCCACTCTGTGTCTCTCAGCTTTTCCCTGCAGCAGCCCACAGAAGGCAGTTCACCTCTGCTGCCTGAGGTCTGAAGCCGGACTGAGCCCCAGATTCAAAGGTCTGCTCCTGTGAAGCCCCAACCTTCTGGGAGCAAATGGGCTGCCCTTAAGTGTCATCTCACAAAGGAAGTTCTTGGGAAGATCTCCAGCACAGGGTTAAATTTCAGGACTCTGCTAATCCCAGAAGAAAAAGGTAAGGTACCTGCACTTTTGTGTTTTTTCTTGTTCAATGTTCTTGTTCTGAAGTAGACTTGTGTCCACATGACTTTGGTAATTGGCTTCATGATTGAGATCTCTGTGTCTCATGATGTATTGATTTAAATGACTGGAAGGAAAACTAGCAAGAGGAGAGATGGCATTTGGGTTTTGGGAATTTATACGTCGTTTTATAAAGAATGCCAACCATAGCACAGAAATTCATCAAGCCAGTTCTTATTTTCTTTAAGAGGACTTATCTCGGAAGTTGCATTTTTTTTGGTTCCTGTCTCAGGGATAAAAGTTTTACCACACTGCCTTTTCTTTGCAACAAACTAGATCCCTAAAATAATTTTTTATTTTACTCATTTCTGAGTTTTTCCTTACAGTTATAGATGTTCTGGAGTTGACAGAGGACTTTCTAAAAGAAATAGAAATGGTGTTTCTCCTTCAGGCTACCTATGAGTTATGAGTAAAGGAATTGGTTTATTCAGGATCTGGTGAACTTCCATGTTATTTTCCAGAGCTTTTTTATGAAACAATTGCTTTTCCTGAATTGTCCTGAAATTAGATGCAAGCAGTGACCGTGTATATTAGTGATGGCTGAGAATTCTGGTTTTATTTTCTCTGTGGTGATAATTGTCTGCAGGGGGGTTGATGGCTACATTTGTTGGTCTGCTACTACAGCTCATGATTTAAGTCTTCAGGGAGATTTAAAGGGGTCAATGTTTATTCAAACAAAACTATATATTTCTCTAGATTTTTTCTTATTTTTTGGTATGATTTTTGTTACCACAACCAGTCCTTCCTCCGGGAGAAACATTTTATAGCAACTTCACTGACTATCACTTAGTTTTTACCTATTTCAGTGAACACTGACTATTCTTTCCCAGCTTATTCAGTTCAGTGTTCCATACTCAGAAATGGCTGAAAATGTCTTTCCATATATGAATTGTGCCTTAGCTCAGCCTCCCTCCACACTTTCCTCTATATATGACCAAACAGTTCTTGGAAAATGCAATTCTTACAACAGCACAACAGCACTCTCTTCAGTGAACTATTTCCATGCACACTGTTTGCTTATCTTGAGGGTCTGCTATCTTTGCTATCTTGAGGGTTATCTGAGACCAATTGCCTCAGGCCTTACCCAGGAACTTGTTTTTAGAAATGCAAATTCTTCATCACCTCCCCAGATTTACTGAATTTGCATTTTCACACCAGGTCCCTGGGTAATTCATGTGCACCTTAAAGTTTAGAAACACCATTTAAGGACTGCAGACCAGATCTTCCGGGACTGCTACTTTACTATCCTGCTGATCCAGAGCTCTGGTCACCAATCACACCTGATTCTCCAGTGGTATGGAATACCTCCATTTCCCCTATGAGTGTACCAATGAATGTGTCCCTCTCCTTCTCTGGGACTCCTCCACTTATCTTCTCCAACCACTTATTGTAGCCTGATTTATTCCTCCTTCTCTCCCCCTTTTACCCAGCACACAGCAAACCAAGTGTCCCTCCTGTCTGATTTTATGGCACTTGAGGAGTTATTACTCTTTGATTTCTGAATCCATGACTCTTGAAGAAATACTAAGTACATAACGTGCTCAATCATTGTTTATTTTATTCATGAGTGAATGAACAGATATATTGTCAGAACTCAAACCTACCAGGTTGAGATAGTTAGAGGCTTTCCAGGGAAATGACCCATCCCTGAAACATGTTTCTGTACTCTCTGAGTTTTTGCTGGATTCATTTTTTAACCAAATATTTTGAGAGCCTAGTGTGCACCCAACTTTGAGAATCCATTTATTTATGTCTCTGTGGATAGCTTCTCCCATTAAGTGTTTGTTCTGTTGGTGTATTTCATTCTCTACCACTCCAAGTTAGAGACATATACTGAACACCTTCTGTTATAGGGCACCCCAAATCTGTTCCAGAACAGGGGGAGAGGGACACCCTGAAGCCCCAAAATCCTGCCTGCTCTAAGTGGGTTCTGCCATCTGTCGCAACAAGACAAAACATATAAAACTTTAATGAAAAGGGACTTTAATACAGTGAATATACAATACGGAACACAAAGAATATAACTTCTAAATCAAACACCTGAAGTCACCCATCCCCTCGTGGGCAAAAGTCAACCCAAAAGGGATTGGCCCAAAGCAAGGCCTGAAAGCCTGCCACAAGACTAAAGCACCTTCTGGCCGGGACCCATAGAAAAGGGTCAGAAATGGCCAGACAAATCTGGGAGGAAAAGAGCAACATCAAAATCAATATAAACACTGCCATAGTCACCTCCCTACAGGTATCTCACCCACATCTGCCTTAACCAGCCCAGGGTCAGGAAACAAGCACGGTTTCTTCATCATATGCTTGCTGTTCCATGTGGCTTCCTCAGGTCTCTTTCTGGCTCTCCATCCAGCTTCCTTCTCTTCTTCTCTCTTCTCCTTTTTCTCTGCTCAGCTCCACCCTCCTGCCCCTGGTTGGGGCAGGGAACCAGGAACTTCCCTTTTTCCTAGGGACCACCCTGTTACACTTCCACATGCCAGCCCCTGTGCTGCATGCTAGGGTTACCATGGCAACCACACATATGTGGATTCTTCCTTCATGCAATCTCCAGGTAGAGGTAAATCTTACCATCCTCTATCCTGCTTTGCTCTAAAAGCATCAAGGAAAACTGAAGAAGTGTAATCAGTAATACACGTTTTCATATTCAAGTAAAAGCATTGGGAGCTTCAAGGCAATGAAATTTAGCAGGAAGAAAGCTGATCTGTTTGGGGACCCTGATTTAATCCTGTGCCTGCAAATCCTTTGCCATGTGACTTTGCGTGGGTCCATTTCCATGATCTGAACCTTGATTCACTCAAATGGTGAAGAAGACAGACAGATACAAGGAAGCAAAGTCTTTGCCTTCATGAGTACACAGAGAAGACAGTACCCAGGGAGTTTCCAAGCCCACAAACAGGCATGCTCCCTGATTTTATGAGGCTGTGCGCTGTGGGCTTCTGGGTCAGCCTGGTGAAGGCGGGATCTCAAGGGAGCATCTTTGTGCCCATGTGTTCACCTGGAGACATTAACCTTCTTTTGTGGCTTCCACAGAGCACAGTGCGGCAGTGCTAAGAAGCAGTGTCCTGTAGCTCATAGGAAATAACTTGGCACTGAGCTGGATAGAGAACTTGTTTGAAGTTGGCAGATGAGGAGGGAAACAGTGTTGTTATCAGGCAACCTCTGCTTTCAGAGACCAGGAGGAGGAGGAAAACATCACTTCACCAAATGGTGCAGGAAAAATCTAGAAGCCAGACCCTTACACTGACCTTCCCTGTGGCACAACTTTGAGTTCTTTCTTCTGACTTCATGTGGGCCTTTTCTTTTCCCACCTCATGATTTGTGGCTTAACTAGACTCTACCTGACTCAAATATTGGACAAGATGTGGCAACTTTTGACTCCCAGCTTTGTACACTGGGGGAGCATGGACAGGGAGTGGGGGGGTGGGGGTGGGGAAAGAACAAATACTTTCAATGTGTTCTCCAGCTACAACCACCAGACTGAAGCTGAAGTAAACTGTTCAGGATCTCTCAAATAATCACTTCTTTCCTTTTTGAGCCCTCATGTTTTGCTCCCTCATTACCCAAAGCTTCCAGAAAGAGATGCTTCCTAAATTCCGTCTTACTTCCTGTTGCTCATCAGTCCCTTAGAACTCCATACTTCCTGCATGTCCACCTTGTCTATAGATGTCTTTCAGCAGCTGAAGTGTTTTCTCTCGGTGGTTTCCTAACTGCACAAATGAACATTAATCTCTATTAGCAAGTACAAGTAAGAACAACAAAGCAATATTAACCTGCATGGGAGGTTTCTAGTGTCCTGCACAGACCTCAGAATGTATCTCGATTAACCTTGTCCCTACCTGGTTTCTTTTTTTAATCTGTCATGGGATGAGACAGAAAAGGGCAGACCTAGTTTTTGAATTCGTCCTCTGCAGCTTCCTTGAATAAATAATAGTATCTTGTCAAGTCTCAGCTTTTTGTGAAGATGCTGATAACAGTGTATAAGTTATAGAGATGATCAATTAACTACATGTTGTGAATATTGGGTCATCTATGGCCTCCAAAATGCACTTGGGCTTACAGAGGAGACTGGCCAATTTGGAAGATGAGAAAATTATCATTGAAGGAAACTGAGGACATGGGAGTAAGATGTTAATTTTGCAGCACATTGAGACAAACTTCAAATATTGAAAGATTGCTCTTTCTGTGTGGGAGAAGAGGTCAATGGAGGACTGATGAGTGGAAATTACAGAGTAACAGGTTTTAACTCAATGCGCAGAAGGATTTACCCACCATCTGAATTGTCTAAAAATGGGTTAGCTGCTTTGTGGTGTGGTGAACGCCCTGTCCCGGGCAGTGCTCCAGCACCCTGGAAGACCGCGGCGGGGGTGTTCCCAAAGGGATGCCCAGGCTGGGTGGAGTCCGGCGATGACCTCAAGGTCCTTCCCGCTCAAAGCTACCAAGAGTCTTGTGATGTCAGGGCCCTAATCCAAGCCATCAAACGAAGGTCTGAAAAAAAAAAGTCATCAGGCTAGAGAGTGACTGTAACTGACTTGTTGCTCACTAACCTTCCCTACCTACTGCCATCATTTTAAAATAGCATTTTTGCAACAATAGTAAAGTTGCACTTCCAGGAAAAAGCAAAAATGAAGTGAGAACAATGAGGTGGGAAAAGTTCATTCTAAACCGTTCTTCTTGGGTTTCTCTTTGACTAGACTGTGAGTTCTTGTGTGGGAGACACATTTCTATTTAATAGAAAATTGCCATATTTGGGTACATTTCAGCCTAACTAAAGTCAGACAAGTAATGGCAAGGCTCAGATTTTGACCTTGATAACGACTCTGTCTATAAAATGCAAATTTTTAAATCCAGATGGAGAAGTATTCTTTTTTTTTTTTTAAGATTTATTTATGTATGCATACAGAAATAGGGTACAAGCCAGTGGTGAGAGGATTC